TGTCCTATCAGCAAATTTGGGAGGCGCTGCAGAGTTCATGTGTCATGTAATGTAAGAGTTAGAATTCTGATCCCTCGACTCCAGACAGACGTTAAACAACTGAAATTTAAATCAGTGATTTGTCACACGGTACACTACAGTACCGTACGTTATGTTATGTTACACACCAGTCTGTTCTCAGACTGTCAGCGGGTCGATGAGTCGTAACACGAGCAAACATTTTACAACCATCACCGAGCCCGAAAGTATTACCACTTCCTTCCGCTTTTAAAAGGCACAGCTGTGCCTCGTTATCCAATCACAAGCGTCCTGCACCGAATCTACAATCCACCAGGTGACAGTGCAGGCTCATCAGTTTGTTCATGGGAACACATGACTCTTGCCATATTATTGACGTAATGGCCGGACTTCGTTGTTGGCGGAGCTAAAACGAACAACCGACCGCATCACCAGACAAAATTTCATCCTAAAATGTGTTCCTCCGCTAAACTGCCTTCGTGGAACATGAATAAAATAGAACGAAGAACAGCAAAACGAACGCACTTCGTTTAAACACTCGCTATGTAGTAAAAACAATAGTTTGTAAGCAAAGTCACTAAAACGGTAATGTTTGTGAACAAGCCGCATGAATTTCTATCGTTATTTTATTTTTTAAATTGGCTTTTATTCTCTTTAAAAACATCTATTTTATTCACGTTTGAGCCACTCTTGTGGTTCAAACGTACAACTTCACTCATCGACGTTTTGGCCGGACCTCGTTGGTGGAGCTAAACCGAACCACCATTCCTACACTACACTTCACTCATGGAACATGAATAAAATAGATATCTTTCGATAGAAGAACAGCGAATTAAAAAAATAAAATAACGATATAAATTCATGCAACTTTTTCACATGTATCAACGTTATAGTAACTTTGCTAAAAAACTATTTTTTTACTACAAAGCGAGTGTTTAAACGAAGTGCGTTCGTTTTGCTGTTCTTCGTTCTATTTTATTCATGTTCCACGAGGGCAGTTTAGCGGAGGAACACAATTATGATGAACTCTTGCATTTAAAATGCAAAAAAATGTATTATTCATATGAATTAACATGCAAATAAAATGCATTTTTAAATGTTTTCCTTTTCCTCTCCCCCTCCATTGGACTACTGCGTCCAATGGGAGGAGTCAGGGGAGGAGCTACCCAAACCCTTTTTTTAAGTAAAAAAAAGGGTTCCGGAATCGAACCGAAACCGGCATCACTGTCACTGCGCCAACCGGTGCTTGGTACGTTCACGGCAGAACATGGTAATGTGGTTTAGCTCCGCCAACAACGAGGTCCGGCCTTCAGGTTGTCTGCACGATTCGCCCTCCGGTGGCTTAAACGTGCAACTGCATATATAAACAAGTTCCCTCCATGTGTCTACTCCATGTGTGGCTGAATATTAAACCAATAGGTTATTGCCCTCTTGTGGCTCAAACGTGCAACTTCACTCATCGACGTTTTGGCCGGAGCATTTGCACTTATTCCATTCATTGTGCTTTTATTGTGAACTGTGTGACTGAAAAGTCTGTAAATGTCCCAGAATAAAGAAAATTATTTGGACCATTGTGTGGCTTCATTTCAAGATATTTGAGGAAATATGAATGCGGTTTCTCATTGCCTTTTAGGGCATGCATTGTCAAGGGTATAGGTAAGGTAAAGAGAAGAGAAACAAATTCAAAAAAAATTTGAAAAACTTTGTTCAAGTTTTTTTTTTTAAGTTATTTGTTTCTTTTAAGTTAATTTTTTCAGTTTTTAAAAAACCAACCAGAATACTTCCACAATGAACAGAACAATAATAACTTTTAGTCTTTTATTTGTAAAACAATTCACATTTACAACATACATTTAATCACAAAGTCCAAAAATACATGTATCATTACATACTCTACACTACTGTCAACCACGGGCTCACAGGATTCAACAATGGTCCCATCATCAGGAGTGCAGCAACTTGGTTAAACCTCTTCTTTTGGCCTGAAACACAAGATGAAATAAAGACAATGTTACAAAGCACTTCAATTAACCACTACTTAGTACTCTAAAGAATTTCACAAGACAAGAAAATGCAAGACAATACCATGTTAAAACTCATTAACAAAAGCTTTGAAGTGCATTAAGGAACGTCACCTGATGGGGAACATGTGAATATTTCTCTACATAAAAATGCTAGTTTTAACAAAATGGTAAAATTCTTGTGTAAATTCGTAACATCGATAATTATGTGCCGCCTTCTTCGTGCATATTTAAAGTTCCAAAAATATTTTATATGAATATTTCAAAAATAACCCAAAACACGCCTTACCCTCCTACCATGCCTTACCATCGTGAAAAAATCCCAAAAAATAAAAAGTCCCAGAAATGCCCTAAAATGCAGGATTATGTCGTAAAACATGCTGCCAAGTGCATATTTAAAGTTCCAAAAATATTTTATATGAATATTTGAAAAATCACCCAAAACACGCCTTACTATAGCCTTACCATCGTGAAAAAATCCCAAAAAATAAAAAGTCCCCAAAATGCCCTAAAATGCAGGATTATGTCGTAAAACATGCTGCCAAGTGAATATTTTGTTTAAAACGCCAAAAAATATTTTATATAAATATTTCAAAAACCCCCCAAAACACGCCTTACCCTCCTACCATGCCTTACCATCGTGAAAAAATCCCAAAAAATGAAAAGTCCCAGAAATGCCCTAAAATGCAGGATTATGTCCTAAAACATGCTGCCACGTGAATATTTTGTGTTTAAAGTTCCAAAAATATTTTATATGAATATTTCAAAAATAACCCAAAACACGCCTTACTATAGCCTTACCATCGTGAAAAAAACCGTGAAAAAAAAACACTTTGGGTTCTTACCTTCCAGACAGTCGGTACAGTACACTCATATGTTGAGGTGCTCGTATCTAGAAGCAAAGGCACGTTTAACTCCAGAAAACAGACAAAACATGTTTTTAATTGCACACACACATACACACACAAAAATATAATATATCAGGATTCCTGTGATAAATTAAATCAGAACACAGCATACTCAAAATACTCGTATGTTGAGAACACATTCATAACTCAAAATACTCATATCTCGATGTTTCACTGTGTGTGTGTGTATATATATATATACAAATTTCTAAATATATATACAGTATGTATATAGCTGGTATCTTGAAATACTAGTATGTACTAGTATCTAGGCTGTGAGACTGCTCTACAACAAAGTTTTAGAAAACTCAAAAGAAGAAATTGAAAATGGAACTAAAAAAATTTTTTTTCAAAAAAGGACACTTGGTGTTTCTACTTGTACAACATTTAACATTAGTTATTATGAATGTACAAGAATGACATCTTACACAGAAACAACTATATAAAACTCAGGAGAACTTGGCGCCTCTACAGCCCAGTTATAAAATGTTTAAATTCAAACCTTATTTTCTGTTAAAAAATTTAAAAAAAGACTAATAATAACGTGCCAATGTTTTGTTCAAGTTTAAACTTTCACGTCACTTTTTAAACTTTTAACTTTTTGTCAGAGGATTTTAAACCAATGACTTCAGGACATCCTGTGGTCTCCTCCTGCCGGGACACCTAGAACAGAAAAACACACACAGTGTTTGAATGACAACAGAAAATGTATCAACATAGTATGACACACACGTTATTATTATTATTATTTCTCACTTGGTCCTGAAACAGAGCTAAGTGAACGGTGCTCCTCTGTTTCCTCTGTTTCCTCTTCCAGGTCTTCTGAGGTCTGACGTCACCTCAGCCTCTTCTGTGGAACAGAACGGTTCCCGGTACCTGTGGACAACCAGGATTTGTAAACACTTTCTGCAAAGCTCAACTTTAATTATTGTTCTGTTCAACATTTGGGTCATATATCAGAGTTTAAAATCTTTTCTGTCTCAACTATGATAAGCCAAATAAAGAGGTCAACACGCAGTAATGTTTGTGTACAAGTACTGTGACAGGACAGACTAAATCCTACCTTAGCCCCAGCATGACGTCCTCAAAACAGGCGTGTCCACCTTCCACCAGGTCATTGGCAACGTGGACACCGTCAGCCACAACGTCCACCTTCCAGAAAGACTCCCCCAGCAGTTCTCTGAAGGTGATCTGAAGGTTCTTCTGCTCCAGCTGTTTTTGGAAGTAGACGGCAGCTTCATCTGTCCACTGGTCCCGCTTCCCCGTCGGCCTCACGCCTCCCAACCTGCACGGATACGTCACTTTCGGCAGTTTGAGCAGCTCCTCCGGCAGCCGCTTCAGTCTGACGTGGTCTCGGTGTGGAACAGAGTCACAGTGGCCGTAGTCCACCAGGTTCAGGTCCACCCTGGTGCTGGTCTGAACTATTTCCGCTCTGCAGGACCTCATTTGGGAGCCTGTCTTTAACAGGCAGCAGGTACCAGGGACGATGTGTGACTCAGGGAGAGGAGACAGCTCCTCGGGGAGGTCGTCCAACAGGTTGGACACCTGGTTCATGGAGAGGATCAAGTCTTCCAGAATGACATAAAACTCAGAGGGTGTTTTGACGGCAGCAGCAACGCCAAAGTACTCTCTGTCCATGTCCACGGACGCAAAGAGGAGTTTCTGAGGAGGAGGACAGTCCAGATGAGGTCCTTCTCCAGTGGTCTTGAAGTTCTGATTAGCGTCCGTCCTCACTGGAAACAAACGTCTGAGGTCTGGTGTCACTGCTTCATCAACAGGTTCCCAGTTGCCGTGGTGGTCAGTCAGAGAATGGACCGTGGTCTCCAGCCCTGTTCCTGACAGTCTGACACTGAAGCTGTCCCTGTGGACGGGCACAACTGTTTCTATAAGTCGGTCCGGTTCACATGATGTCACTTCCTGTATGATTAAAGGCGAGCCTTCAGCCACTACCTCTTTTTCAGGGTCTTCACCAGAACTGCGTTCAACATTTGAAGGGACTTCAGCTTCTTCAACAAGAACCTCCCACACAGATCCACGCTGACGGACAAAGTCGACCACGAGAGGCTTCTCCGCCACAGTGTCAGTGAACGCAGCTCCGTCTTGGAAAGTGCTTGGATCCAACAGTGAACAGTGAATGCTGAATCTGGGCTGAGTGAGGTACTCTTTGGGCAGGACGTAGATTTTCTTCTTCTCCACAGCAGCAGTGCTGCCATAGTCGACAAACTCCACCACAAAGGAAGAACTTCCCTGATGATCCTTCACAACACATCGATACAGAGCTCCATCTTCCTCGTACTCGGCCAGAGCGAGGTCACTGACCGTCACAGATGTAGCAGTCTCCAGGGAATTCCTTAGGGCAGGCGAGTTTAGCTCCTCAGCCATTTTCAGGATGCTTGGTCCGTCGTCTGACAAATAGAGGTAGAAAGAGGTTAAAGACTGGAAGTGAGACATGAAGCAGTCTGCTCTGAGCCCGGTGTTAACCTTCTTCTCAGGCAAACATGATAACTGAGCTGCGTTAGTGTCCTTCTGTGGTATGGATTTTGAACTTTTATCTAGATCCCTTCGACGCTGGGCTACGTGAGATGTTTCCACAGAGGAAGGTTTTGTCCCGTCCACCGCCTCTTGTTTTATTTTTGTGTCTTTGGCCAGAGATTTTACGTGAGCATTATGTCTCTCTTTGCTCATTCTTTGAGATGGATGACGACTTTGAGGCGTCCTGTCTGGCTTTAGTGACAGAGACTTTGGAGCTCTGCCTTTTCTAGGGTTCCTTTGATTAAACCTGAACCATGTGTTTCCTGAACTGGGTTTAGTTTTTCTACTAAAACCAACAACTTCTTCTGTTTGAGCCCTGTGTCTGAAAATCAACTGCTTCACTTTTTTGTTAACATTAACATCTCCATCAAACAGCTCAACGTCAAACGAACCATCCTCATTGCTGCGGTGTATGAAAGCTTTGGTCTCCTTGTTGAGGACGGCGTCGCTGAGCCATTCTTTCACGTCAGCATAGCTCTCCTGCTTGCACACTGAAACCAGGTGGAATCTCATCGCCTGCATTGGTGTGTAGAGAAGATCAACTGAGTCTGTGGGAATGAAGAGGACCTGGGCTTTCTCACATATGTTTTCATTTCCATAGTCCACAAAAAACACACTGAGGTGTAAAGGTGACTGAACTGCATGAGGGAAGCCTCTGTACCATCTGCCGTCCAGGTATTTAGCCAAACACGGCTTCCTCACCACAGCTCCGGCGCTGGCCTTCATCATCTTCTCACTCTCCTCCAAGATTGTGTTTTCAAGGTTGTTGATGATTTCAGTGTTTTTCTTGAGGTGGCAGAAGACCTCCCACTGACTGCTGACGTGTGTGATGAAGACGTCTTCGTCATTCCCTGGTCCTAAATCATAAGAAGAGTACATGAAAGACTCGGGTGAAATCACTGACAGGTTCTTTGTCCAGATTGTTGCTTCTCTTGCCAGACCTTGCTCCATCAGCCAACTTTTTAAACTCTGCTGTGTTTGTGTGCTGTACAGATCCACAACATTGTACAGACCTCTGTCCTTAACATTCACCTGAGATATTATTTTACAGCTTAACTCTCTGCAGCTGTCCATGACAAACCTTTTGACGGAGCTACATGCCTCTGGACTCCAGTGCCAACTGTCACTGTCTTCAGCAGCTTCCACCAGATTGAAACTGCAGCACCTAAAGGCTGGTGCTTCTAAAGTGACAAACTCTGGCAATATTTCTTGAAGATCCTGCTCCTGCACCTGGAGGGTGTAACCGTAGTCTACCAATACCACCTTAGCGTGACCATCTGTCCTCTCTGTGATAAAAGCTCTGCACCATCTTCCATTCACAGTCGTCTTGACAACACAACACGGGAGCGTCTGGAGTGGAACTGTGTTGGTCGAGTAATACTGCTGGATCTTGTCCATGAGTTGGTCCAAAGCTGGGATTTTATCCAGAGGCAGGCACCAGAAATCGGACGGAGAGCTGATGAAGGTGCAGCACACTGCAAACTCTAACCCAGGTTGGACGCTCAAAGATTTGTAGTTTTTGGAAGCTACGGCTGTTTTCCTTACTTTCTCGTGCACCTCCTCTGATTTTCCTTGATAGGGGGCCCATCGCTCTGGAATCAAGTTCATGTTGGACCCTGCACCCATTCTCTGGACGTTGGTGTCCTCCAACAGCTGCTTGGAACTCCTGTTCCAGCATTGTGTTTGATGAGAAGCCAGCAGGTGATCAGTGATGCTCTGCTTGTTGTCACAGCCCATCTCATAGAGATCAACGATACATTTGTTTTTTCCTATGTGGACGACACGAACCAAAACAGCCTTGTTGGACACAGTCTGTCTGAAAGAGCCCGAGACGCTGCTGGACCAGAGATCGTCCGTGGGCAAAATGTTAAGGGTACAACAGATGGCGAACGGTGGTTTTCTGGCCAATGCCTCAGGTATTTTCTTAATCAACATGTAAGGCACCTTTTCAGTGTTTCCATAATCTAAAAAAAAAACTTCCGCTCCGTGGTTAAGAATGTCTGTGACTATGGCCCTGTAAAAGTGCATGTCCTCCTCGTGCACGGCACAGCAGAGTGAACCAGGCTGAGGAGACTGGATCACCTCTTCATCCAGTTTAACTCGACTAAAGTGATCTGCCATGTTCTCTGTCATTTCCATGAACTCATCACTGCGTTTCTGTGTTCTGATCCAGAACTGACTTGGATTCTGGACGTGCGTGACGTATCCCACAAACACAGCTCCAACCTGCACCTTTTCTTCTTCTACTGTTTTCCCCAGCGCTTCCTCAATAACTGTGTCGAAGTACAAAGAGCCATCTTGACGTGACAGTTTTTTTAGGTCTAAAACAGCACTGACGTCACATTTAGTCGACTCCTGAACAGACTCTGGCTCATTCAAAGGATTATCTTCAGCACCAAACAACTTTATGTTGCAAAGGTCATGTTCCTTATCAAAACTACAGATTTCCAAATCCAACACTGCTCCAAGCAAACCGGCTTTCAGAAAACTCAACTGCTGGTCTTTAACAGCTTCGTCCTGGTCCTGCAGGCAGGAAAGAGAGCATGGGAATGCCATGACAGGTGTGGAGAAGAGGTCGGGAGGCAACCTTTGGATATCCTCTACTTTTACTGATTCATAGAAGCCATAGTCAATGAACAGGACTCTGACCTGAGAGTTGATAGGGAGAAACGGCACAAAGCCTCTGTACCATTTCTCATCTTTGTGTTTGACTGAGCACAGTATTCCTACATTTGCTGTGGCCTGGCCGTAGTCCTTGACTGAGTTCCTAAAAACTGCAGCCAATTTCGTTGACATTTCCAAAAGCTCTGTCGTCTTACTGACCATTTGACAGTAAAACAGTTTGGCACTGACAGCTGCAGAGACACGCACTTTGACCCGAGCCCCACATCTCAACCTAAGTCTACAGAATGACAAGAAATCTTTGTATCTGCGCCGAGCGGGTGGTTTAAAACTAACCTCTTGTTTTTCTGGCTTTTCAATAATTAGGTCTGGAACTGGCCCCAAATTCTGTCGGACGGGCACCTCTGTGAGCATCTCCACCAGGAATAGGAACGTGTTTGTGTCCACATGTCTCCCAAAGCCCTGTCTGACGAGGTCATTGTTGACGTCTGGAGCTTCAAACAGGAGGACTTCGTGAGGAAGAAGGGCTCGGCCGTAACCTGTGACTGTTTTTCCAATCAGGCTGAAGAAATAATCCTCCAAAACAGACTGTGAACTACTCTGAAGCAGCAGGACATTTACCAGAAATCCACTGACTATTTTTGGAGGTAGAATAAACAGGTCTTTGGAGCATGATGACAAGTGGGCAACGTCTACACTCAGGACATTCCCATGATCTACAAGGAAGACATCAAACTGGTCGTCTTTTCTGTTCTGAACCCTTCCTCTGTACCAGGTGGCAGAAGCTACATCTTCCACAAGACAAAAGTCTCCAATATCCACAGCAATGCTTGTTTTTGGCGTGTTTCTTATTTCATCTTGTAAGATGTTATAGTCCAGTTCACATATGGTGAGGTACTGGGCCTGGAAGTGGATCAGAGTGGCTTCGGGGTTCCAGTCCAGATGTGTTAGTTTGAGGTCAAGTGGCCAAGGAACACATGAAGAAGGAGTACCAGAATCTGGAGAGCTAAATATGAAGAGGTTAAAGTATCATACTGGTAAAACAAAAACAAATTATTCTGCAATGCAAACAAGCTCTAATTGCATTCACCTACACTTGGCTTCAACATCAAGTAAAGAAAAGTGAAATATTTAACATTTACTATTAGGAAGAGTCCTTAATATTTTATAAGGAACAGTCTTTAATTAGACTACTCCGTGAAAGCTTGTTCAATATTATAATACATACGTATATAATACAAAAAACTGATTTACTTACGTTTCATGTTCACTGAACTGCGGCTGCATGGCAGCAGTTTTATTCGAAGTCATTTTCCAAACAGAACCTGGGTAAAAATAAAATATTGAAACTTATTTATTATTTTTTATTTATTTACATGTTTTGCGTAAAATTAATAAATGCAAATATTAATGGGCGTAAGTAATAAACGCACGAATGATAAATTCTCAGAAAGTCTTTAATTTGATTAACTGGATTTTTAATTGTTGTTTTCAGTAATAATACCTTTCTCATCTGCTAAATTTAGCCTTATTTTTAAATAATGTTCTGATCAACGTCACACGACACGACCATAAAGCTAACGCGATATTTAGCATTTAGCGGTGACAATATCAATCAATAATTACCGTTGCGCGACCAGTAAAAGATTCCGTACAATATTTCACACCGCTGTAACAATCCTACATAGTTACACATCACATATTTCATTCAAATGTACACGTTTTTCTTACCGTTTTCTGTAAACATTAACCGGAAAGTCCGGTTAATTAGAAGATACCCCGGATGTAGTTTCGTACGGTTACTTGCCTGATTTCTGAGTCTAAACTCAACTCTGCCAAAGATATCACGAGCGTTATAAAAGCTTGTTGTTTTAAACTATTCAACTATGCCTTTTTTATCCACTGTTTTTATTTTCGTTGATAACAACTAACGCCACAATAACAACTCCGCGTCCTTATTTCACCGAACTCGTGCTCCCCCAACTGTTCGTGTTGTGCACTGCAGATGAACTAAGAACTAGCAGACGCTATTCTTACTGCTGTAAATGTAGAAGGAATAATATTTTATTTTATCAAAAAAGTAATGTTTAGAATTTTAGGTAGAAAATAAATAAATGAATGATTTATTAACTACTTAAGTTATTTTTGCTCCTATTTTTCATTTACACATTCGATTTAAAACTAGGGACAAAACCTGTACGGTGACGATTATTGACTGCTTAACAGATGAAGTTGAAACAAACAAAAAAAAAATCTAAATTAAAAACAAATCTGGTGAAATTTCCACTTTTTAGAATGCTTAAACAATGACACATCTTAGTTCCAAACTAGAAAAAAAATAAATGCAACATATTTTAGTCTTTTTTTTTTCTGATATCCTACGTTTGTGTTAGAAGGACTCGGCTGAGTGTGCCAGGCTGGGCGGACGGATGGACAGATGGGGTTTTCTGTTAATGATTAATAACCTGGATTAGCCCAAGTCTTCTGTAAATATGATGAATGCACCCACGGCTTCATTAGCTCTGCTTTCACACTGGCTCTACATCAGCCTGAGGTGGACGTAAACCCAGCATGGATGTGACTTCTCCTGCTTTGTGTCATTTATTTTCAACTGGTGCAGCTGGTGTGAAATAATCGCGATGCTGGAAGCAGTGGTGACGTATGCAGACTTTTCCAGGACTTGATTTAGAGATTTTTTTGTTGTTGTTGTTGTTGTAGGGAACAGGTTCTAAATAGACCAGATTTAAAGTCTCCGAGGACAAATGATCTACAGTGGATTCTTTCATTCCCTGTTTCACACTCACCTCAGTGTTCCTCCTCCTGGTTTTCCTCGTTTTTCTTCTTTGGTTGGTGTCAATCTTCTGACGTGGACAATATGCCGATGAAACGCAACAGCAGCAACAGTGACGCTTCAGTCAGGAATGGACTTCTGCTCATTCAGTCTTTGACCAGGACTTTGTGTGAATCAGCTGAGGACAAACACACAGATTTAAATGGACAGACACAGTTCTCTCGAGAGGATGACTCTGGGATTAAATCAGGTAATAAAGCAACACAAAAGTTAGAATCTATCTAATACATATGATACTGTTGAAAAAACATGCTTAGACAATTGATATCCATTTTGGTTTTTTATCTGCCCTTGTTTGTAGAGACTTATTTCCAGTTAAAATCTATTAATCCTAAAATTGGTAGATGAGTTGTCCAGGTAAAAACAGTAACTGGAATTAACCACAAGATGGTGGTAAAGCTACATGTTCCCTTGACGGAAATGTAGTAATAGGTGAACACAAAGCCACAAAAGGACAGAAACAAATTTATAAACTTTAAGTGTCTTTTTTTGTAGCATTTGTTTTCGAATTTATGTTTAACCATTGTAAATAAAAAAATAAATACATAAAATGTGCTGAAGTAAGCACATAATGGGAAATGTATTTGATGGACATAAATACATAAAATGTGCTGCACATAATGGGAAATGTATTTGATGGAATGTTGTTATAGAACTCCACTCAAGGTCAGAAAATTTACATTTTAAATTATTTATACTTTTAATTTAGACATTAAAAAATACATAATTCTGCAAAGTGTTGTTGTATGAAGTCAACTTAAAACCCTAAAAAATGTAACCAAATAGCAAATATTCCAATCGAGGTCTTTTTCACTTTTCTGTCCTTGTTTTTATCCTAATGTAAAGTGAAAACTACATGTGTCACCACCTGGCAGCTAAAAGCACATCTTTCCACAGAAGCTGAAGACAGTAACGAGACGGTGTCCTCTGAAGAAGACCAGGACCTGTTGGACTCAAACACAGAGTTGACAGTCAGTAAACCCAGCGTCTCCTCCTCCTCCTCCTCCAGGAGGAGCATCGGTCAGATCATCAAAGATAAGAAGAAGCAGACACAGCTCACTCTGCAGTGGTAGGACCTCTGCCGTCCATGACGACTGTTACCTTTACGTCCACTACAGCTGCTCGATGTTTCAGAAGTTGCAGAACGACTTTAGGTTCATGCGTGTTCAGCAGTAGTTTCCATCCATGGCCTTTTTTCCCTGAATGTCCTTTACCTGTTAATTAATTTCATGGTAATGAACATTATTGATCAATGCTGATTAAACTAAGGGAGATTTTTTTTAACAAACATGTGACCAGGCTGGAGGACAACTACATCGTGTGTGAAGGTGTGTGTCTGCCTCGCTGCATCCTCTACGCCCACTACCTGGACTTCTGCAGGAAGGAGAAACTGGAACCAGCCTGTGCTGCAACATTTGGAAAGGTACTCAGAAACCTGGAAGCGCCCCCTTGTGGCCAAATATAGTCTAGCTGATAATTCCTACCTTTTCATTTCAGCATTCCACTTTGAAAACTAATAATTAAAACACTGAATTAAATCAGAGCTGACTATTGTATATTTTCTGGCCGTGTATTGGACCAGAAGAAGTCACCTGGTCCAACACTGACTGACTCCCAGGAAAATAACTCAACACTAACTCTCCCTCCTCTCATCAGACCATTCGCCAGAAGTTTCCTCTTCTGACAACCAGAAGACTGGGCACCAGGGGGCACTCTAAGTAAATTGACATTCCAATTTTGTAATTTAATGTTAAATTCTAAAAACTGAGTCGATCCGTGTACCTTAATGACATCTACCCTTCCCAGATACCATTACTATGGGATTGGCATCAAGGAGAGCAGTGCTTATTATCACTCTGTGTATTCTGGTAAAGGTCTGACCAGGTAACACTGCACCTTCTCCTCTAACACACATGTCATTTATCACATGTTATTATGGGAACTGAAAGTTAAATTTGAAATTTGAAATCTATTACGGTCACTTTTTGAATCAAATTCATTATTAAATGGTAGAAAATACTTTTAAGTAGTTTTTTGCCATTTACTTTAGACAAATCTGAAGTGAATGGCATTTTGGGTAATCTGTATTTTGGGTAACTAAGCTTTCATTTCTGTGACAAAGCCACAAGTATTTGTACGTTCACCAACGTGTTGTTTTTCTTTTGCAGATTCTCTGGGAGCAAACTTAAAAATGAGGTAAAAATTATTTTATTTTTAGATTTTGACTTTACTTTCACAAGCCTCTCAAACAGACTGTGTGTTTTTTTCCAGGGGGGTTTCACCAGAAAATATTCCCTGAGCTCGAAAACAGGAACTTTACTCCCAGAGTTTCCAAACGCTCAGCATCTGCTGCTGCAGGGAAACGTCTCCAGAGAGAAGGTTGGTGATCAATCTAGTGTTTACATGAAGTTTTTTTATTGGCTACAATGGCAGCAAGTTTTACCGTCAATTTTCTGCCACGTACATCGACGTTGGTATTCTTTCTACTTAAAATACAATTTAATTTCATGTATTTTTTAGATTTATGGCCTCCTGCATCTTTACCCCCCCCTCCCCCCTCATCTGTTTGTAGAGATGTGTGTAATAGAACTGCAGTCACTCATGTGTTCTGACTCACCCGTCTGCTCCTCACCCAGGTGGAAACTCTCATCATGATGTACAAGACTCACTGTCAGTGCATCCTGGACAACGCCATCAACATCAACTTTGAGGAGGTCCGTCACTCAGCCTCACATCAGGGTCGACTCTGGGGCTCGGTCAAAACACTGTTCACACAAAGCTTTACTTTCCAGATCCAGAACTTCCTGCTCCACTTCTGGCAGGGAATGCCTGACCACCTGCTGCCCCTGCTGGAGAATCCTGTGATCGTGGACATTTTCTGTGTCTGTGACTCCATTCTCTATAAGGTTATTGTTATTATTTTTTTACATTTTTTAGCAACGTGTCCACGTTGAGAAGTTGACAAGTCCATGGTCCGCTGTCTTTTGTCTCTTCAGGTTTTAACTGATGTCCTGATTCCTGCTACGATGCAGGAGATGCCAGAAAGGTTTGTCACCAAAACCACCTCATTGTCATGGCAGCGACTGAGTTTTTCAAAGCACCAGTTCTCCTCACTGGCACTGTTTTTACTGTGTTTCCCTGTTTGTGTCCCAGTCTGCTGGCTGATATCCGTAACTTTGCCAAACACTGGGAACACTGGCTGGTCTCCTCTCTGGAGAACCTTCCTGAAGGTCTGGCAGCAAAGAAACTTCCCATCGCTCGACGCTTTGTCTCCTCTCTGAAGAGACAGACCTCGTTCCTGCACCTGGCCCAGGTACAGGAGACACGAGTTCATTACAGCTAATAATAAATATAATAATAAACGTTTCACCCAGCGATTTCTCCTCTTACCTACTTTTCCCAGATCGCTCGCCCCGCTCTGTTCGACCAGGCCGTGGTCACCAGTATGGTGATGGACATTGACAACGTGGATCTGAGCGGCATCAGCTCTCAGCCTCTGCTCAGCATCAACAGCAGCGCAGACCAGGACCCCGACCCCGACCTTTACTCCGAGTGTAAGAGCACGTGTACGTTTCAAACGTCACCGTGACGGCCGTCGGTGTTCCACGTACCTGTGCAGGGATTGAAAAGGTCGTAGATGTTAGAGTTTCAAGTTTAATTCAGCTTTAAATCAGGTTCTCAGCAATCATTTGTGTATGGTTTGTAGTTTTTCTTCAGCCCTTTTTCTTCTGTGAAATATCTTTGTGGAACCTTTTAAATATTTTTTGGGGATACATTTTGCTCATCATTGGCTAATTTCCTTTACATTATTTTAGTCAACTTCATTTGAAATGACAAATCATTTATTTGGGCAACTCAGTAAAGTTCATGAAATCTTTTTTGCTGTGTTCCACGTTTATTTGTCAGTTTTTTTGTCATCATTTCTGTAACAAAAACAGAGTAAATGTTTTTCAGCCGACATCTCTTTGCCAAAGTATGGTGATAATATTTTGGGCACTGACTGCTCTGAGCTGTTTTTGTTACATTTTCTTATTCATTTTACTGTGCACATATATTGTTGTCTGTTAAATATATTAAATAAGAGTGTGTCCTTCATAACTAAAAGCTGCCTCTCTCTCTCTCTCTCTCTCTCTCTCTCTCCAGACGACTCCATCTCCGTCTTCCAGGAGCTGAAGGAGCTGCTGAGGAAAAACGCCACAGTGGAGTCTTTCATTGAGTGGCTGGATTCTGTTGTTGAGCATAAAGTCATCAAGGTAACAGATGTTCAATCACCTCAGTGTGTGTGTGTTTTATAAATGAATCATTTATGTATTTATGTCAATCAATTTGATCCATCTTCATTTTTTTTTTGAAAGCCTGGGAAGCACCACCACAGAACGGTGAAGAAGCGAGCTCAGGACTTCCTGCTCAGGTGGAGTTTCTTTGGAGCCAGAGTGATGCACAGCCTCACACTCAACAACGCCTCCAGCTTTGGTAGGAACATCTCCACCACACCAGAACATCTCCACCACACCAAAACATCTCCACCACACCACAACATCTCCACCAGACCAGAACATCTCCCCCAGACCAGAACATCCCCACCAGACCAGAACATCTCCACCAGACCAAAACATCTCCACCACACCACAACATCTCCACCAGACCAGAACATCTCCACCGCACCAGAACATCTCCACCAGACCAGAACATCTCCCCCACACCAGAACCTCGCCACCAGACCGGAACATCTCCACCACACCACAACATCTCCACCAGACCAAAACATCTCCACCACACCAAAACATCTCCACCAGACCAGAACATCTCCACCAGATCCTTAGATTTAAAATACACTACATTTAGTAGTAACTGCTGCTTTAAAACAGGTCTACAGGTCATCCAGGTCAAAGGTCAAACACGGGGAAACAGCTGTTTTTCAAAATAAAACATAGATTTCACACTGAGAATCAATGTTTCTCTGTGGCTCAGTACTGGTCTGGTGCCAGGTGGTCAGGGACTACAACCAACACACACACACACACACTCACACACACACTCACACACACACACAGTTACAACAGCATCATAAATTGTAATAGCTCGACTCAGCTCTAACACACACAGCCTTATCTGAGGGTCGTGTGACCTCTGTTTAAACATATGTGCACAAACAAACATATATACATACATACACACACACTCACTCTCTCACTCTCTCACTCACTCTCTCACTCGGCCTTTGTGTACATGGACAAACACTAACCATTCGCCGCCTGTTTCTCCCAGTGAAGCTCAGACAAACACCAGTCTGATCTACAGCCGGAGGATCGGCTGCAGATTCCTGTGTGTTTATACAAGCGTGTGTGCGTGTGTGTGTGTGTGTGTTGTGTTTGACCTTTGTTCTTGTACAGGTTCCTTCCACCTGATCCGGATGCTCCTGGATGAGTACATCCTTCTGGCTCTGGAAACGCAGTTCAACAACGACAGGGAGCAGGAGCTGCAGGGTCTGCTGGACCGATACATGAAGAACGCAGGTATCAGAGGTCACTGGAAAACATGGAGGTTAAAGGGATATTACACCATATTTACAGACAACACGGAGCATTCACACAGACAGAGGGTAAATTACAAACGTAGAATTTTAAATAATAATATTCATTAATTAATATTAATATTATTCCCAGCATCAAACGGTGAAAAACCTCTTATGTGTAGCAATAATGTTTTTCCAGGCTAACCCAGTTAACATCTGCTAACATGTAGCTGTTTTAGCTAGTCAAGTTAAAGTTAAACAAGAAGGAAAAGACAGCTGCCGATTGATCAGCGAGTAAAATAATATTTAGTTTCCAGAACATTCAAATGTCTGAGGTTGTCCCCTCGTCTACGGCCCCTGCATCACTTTTTAAAGGTATCCTTTCCCAGGAACCATTAGCATTAGCATTAGCATCTCTCCCTGCTCTCAGATGCCAGTAAAGCAGCGTTCATGGCCTCGCCTAGTTCTTGCTTCCTCGCCAACCGCAACAAGAGCAGCGCTGCCATCGACCAATCAGTGAAGAACGAGTCTCCAGGAGAACACACCTACGTCTCTCTGTCCATCAACCAGCAGCAGAGTCTGGAGACCAGAACCACCGTCTACCAGGGGACGGATGTGGCCGCCTTCCCTGCATCAGGTTAAAGGACATAATGTCGCTGTTGGACAACATTAAAGAAGACGTGTGTCTGATGTTTTCATCTTCTGTCCTGTTGGGGTCCTCAGGTGCTCAGATGGACTTCTCTCAGATCAGTGGCCCCCTCATGACACCCCCCATCTCTCCAGCAGCCCTGGTTCACCGTGGCTCCGTCATTAACCAAGGACCAATGGCTGGAACCAGGCTTCTGACCTCCTCTTCCTCCTCCTCCTCCTCTTCCTCTGCACCTTGTCTGTCGTCTCTCAGTGCAATGACCCAGCCCAGCCCCTGCTCCTCTTACCCAGAGACCCTGTACCACTGCTTGGCTCAGAGCAGCCCCAGTTACTTCACCACCTCCAGCTGCTCCTCCACCTCCAACTACCAGACTCCACTCAGGTCAGGAACCCAAGATAACAAAAAAAAAAAAAGACCTGATCCTGTCAGCCGTTTCCAAAACCCCACAAACTTTTCTTCTTCTCTCAGGTCTCAGAGCCAGAACCTGTGTCTGGCCTCTGTTCAGTCTCCGACCTCCTCCCTGACCTACAACCTCCCAGCCTTCACCGACCAGCAGCTCAACAAAGACTTGTTCTACAATCATCACCCTCCATCTCTTCATCCTTCATCCACCACCAGCGCCACCTGCTCCCTAACCACACCTTACGGCTCCACACTGCGACCCACGTCAGGCTACGCCCCGGGGTCAGACCCGGCTCAGGCCGACCAGGGACTGGACGTTCAAACTGCAGCTCAGATCCTAGACTCCGCCGATGGGTTTTGCTTTGCCGGGGCCGGACTGAACCACTCCGGTGGTGGTGGATGTCAAGGACAGACGTATTCTACCCCAGGACAAGGTAAGGACTTCAGGATCCAGTCTAAACCAAGCAGGGGTAAACATTATTTATATATTATTATGTAAATAAAATGTAAACAAATAAAACCTACACAGATTTGTTGTCTGCCGCGACCTAGTGGCAACAACAGATATTACAGTCTACTCGATGTAATGCATGGAACAGAAGGATTGACATCAGTCTTCACCAGACCTTGTCTACATTAGAAATCCCAGCGGGCTGTATCTGGGCCACCAGCCATAGTTTGCCTCCGGTCGGGTCTAGACTAAACCGAGGGCTGGGTCAGTCTACTCGATGTAATGCATGGAACAGAAGGATTGACATCAGTCTTCACCAGACCTTGTCTACATTAGAAATCCCAGCGGGCTGTATCTGGGCCACCAGCCATAGTTTGCCTACGGTCGGGTCTAGACTAAACCGAGGTCTGGGTCTTGGTGGTCTTTAGAGCTGCTTTATTAAAATAATCACCTTGATAAAAAAGAGAGCTCACCTGTCAACGTGTGCTCACTGTCAGGTTACTATGGCAACAGCAGCTACATGGACAGCCAGCGGATGACATCACTGGTGGACCAGCACGTGTCAGTGATCAGCAGTGTCAGCAGCCTGCGACCTTTCACCTCCACGTATTCCGATATCCACGACCCGCTCAACATCCTGGACGAACCGGGACGGAAAACGATGGGAGGCTATTTCACAGAGACAGACACAGGCGCAGGTCAGTGTGGTCCCAAAGTGGGGGGCGGGCCCCAACAGAGGGCATGGAGATATTGCAGAGAGACAGTTGAGAGAGAGTTTCCAGTTGCTCTCAAACATATCATGGACTAAAAAAGGTCCAGTTTTTCATAAAAATACTGTGATAAATAAATTCACAAAAATGCAAAAAAAAAAAAGAAAAAAAAGAAAAGAAAACGAATGCACAACTAAGTCAAATTCTGCATTTTTTGAACGCACAACTAAGTCAAATTCTGCATTTTTCCACCAGATCATTCACTGACATCATCTGGATCCGCCCACTGCATGTTTGGAGTGCCTTCTTCTTTCACGTCACAGGAGGTGCTGTTGTCACAGCAGCGTCTGACATCATCAACCTCGTCATCGTCCGCAGACGTGCAGGACTTGGTTTCCTCGCTGCCTCCCATTAACACAGTATTCATGGGTACTGGAGGAGTACAGTGACCCGGGGAACTCAACATACTGTTATGGTACTGGAACAACACAACATGTTTGTCATGGTACCGTTAGCTAGTTCAGGTAAGGAAAAGACTGTGGGCTTCTTCAGGTCTGTGTTACCTGGAAAGACACACGGCAGCGAAGAAAACATAGTTATTTCCTCTGATGTTGTTGAACCTCGCAGTCTGATCCGACCGTCACTCTGACACATATATTTAATGATATATTCACCAATGTGTTTTTCACTTTTTCAGTCATGACAAAAATAATATACTGTATATTTTGAAGCACAAACAGCAGGTAAATACATATACATAAATATATATATATTTGATGCTGAATGTTTTTACGTTAAGCACCGTTACAGAATGTGATCCATGTCAGAGGACAATCGTACCTGGAGACGGTTCAGTGGACAGACTGAGGGGACTAAGATACCTCTGGAGGACGGACTGATATTTGTAAAAAAAAAACAAAAAAACAACTGAAGTTGTTCAACTGTTGTTCAACTAATGGACAGTTCAGATCATAATCATTTTGACATAGTAATTTTTTTTATAAGTTTATAAAAATGTAAATTCCCCCTTTAACACGGACAAATTGGCCAGAGTCTAAAATATTCCTGTTTGATCTTCATTAAAACCCACTGTAAACAGAGGCCGACTGTTTTCTCATGAATGGTAGCTGTGACGTACCTCCTCCTCCTCCTCCTCCTCCTCCTCCTCCTCCTCCTCCTGGTCAGGTTTTATCTCTGGAGGTAAAAAAAAAAAAGAAGAAGAAAGTCAATTTCAGGTGATGGTCAGCGTGGCAGGAACAGATGGTGGTACGTGTAATGATTACAGAATGCACAGGTTAAAATACTTTAATTACTGAGTCAATAATGGCCACAACAATCGCTGCGGCCTCGGTGTAAAAACAACAGACGGCACAAGACAAACGCTGAGCCAATGTTTAACCAGGCCCCATGTGTGTGTGTGTGCGTGTGTGTGTCCACATCCATCAAACGGCTGTCAAAATGACATCACTATTAATATATGTAAACAGAACACGATTAAAGGGTGATGTGGAAATATATAGGCAAAATATAGGAAAAATATATATAAAGCTGAAGGTAAGAATTCTATCAATTTAAACGGTTTGTTTTGTATCTGTACATATACAAAAAGCTCTCCTTTTCTGGCCATTAGGTGGTGCTAGGTACACATGTTTCTTCGATGATATTGACGGACCTGCACTGAGGTATTACCTCCATATTTATGAATTTGGTGAAGTGCAGAGAAAAAAAAGAAAGTTGTTTTTTGACATTTCTGTCTGAATTTTGGATTTTTTTTGTCTCTTCACTTCTTCGTCCATCTTCAGTTTTCCTCTGTTTTATTTTGAACTTTCTTCTGAACTTGCCTTGAACTGTAGAATTCCCAGAGCTGTTTGATGTGGACTTCAACCCAGAAGGACAAAATGTCCTTTTAACAACAGTATTTTTTAACAAATACGGCTGTATCTATTTGTTTACGTCCTGTCCTTCACAGTTTTCTCTGCTGCTCCTGACTCCTCTTCCTCTTGGTGGGACCATCATGCATCAGTCAGGCACCAGCTGACCTTCACCGCTGCTCCTCGACAACTCTTTCTATTTCTCTGAATTTGAATTAATCTCATCGTCTCACATAAACAGACGCGCCTTCCCTCCGTCTTTCATCGCCGTCGCCTCGGTTTTTTGGCCTTGCAGTTAATTACAAATGTATTACTCAACTTTCCTCAAGGATTTTTTTACATTGGCTCAAGTGTGCGTTTAAAGCTGCAGCCTTAAGACACAAAGCAGGTGCGTGTCGATGCTGCTGCTTAAAAAAAAAAACCCACTAACTTGCACAAAGTTTAACACATCTTTTATGTTTTTATTTATTTATTTGTATCTTTTGGTAAATCGCTGGAACTCTCAAACTCAACGCACATCTAAATGTTATACTTCTGCATGTTGTAGGTGGCGCTAAGTGGCGTAAAAATCTAAGTTAAGTGACGATGATGCCACTGTTTTAAGGCTGAAGTTTCGACTAAAATGAGAAGGTTAGTTATGTTGTCCAGGTATCAGGAAACAACAACTGACAACTGACAACTGACAACTGACACTACGACGACACTGACCACTTTCTTTATTATAACATATCGCAATATAGTGAAAATACGACGACACCGACCACTTTCTTTATTATAGAATAAACAGAGATAGTTGTTATAATAACTATGTATATATCTATTTACCCTTTATGAGCCTCACCCACACGGTTATCAACCCTCCCTCCATTTTTAAAACCAAAACTTTCATATGTACAATTATTTTATAACATATCGCAATATAGTGAAAATTGTACGAGATCAAATCAGATCAGATTTTTAAAAAAATCTGTGATGTACTGAGGTAGCAAAAGAAGAATATATATATATATATACACACATATATAATTGTTAATATTTTTTTTATTTTGCATTTAAACAGGGCGAGAATCCAAACATGTATGTCGGGTGTTCATTTTCATGTAAAATTTAAAACTATCAAAGTTCACTTTTTTAAATTCTCTTCTTCTTCTATATTTTTGCTGTGTTTTGTGCTTCTTTCTCCAAGGAATGGAGGAAACGAGGAATTTCAAATCAAATCAAAAAAAAAAAAGAAAGAAAACCATTCATGTTCTGTACATCTCAACCTTGATGTGTGTAAGGAGCGCAAACACTCAGACCTTCTTACCCTCCGTCGTACTCAAGTCACTGCAGAAACTTTTCAAGTTCAAACATCTTTGTTGCTTTTTATTACTTTCCACCTTCCCGTAGAATATATTCTTTCTTTTCTCAACTCTCTGAAGATATTGTGTGTTCTTTTTAATTAGCTTCTACAGCCTGGTGTCATTCATGCACTAAGGTTAACGTGAGTTCACAGTAGAACACACAAAAATCCAGCCTGGGTATAAAACCTTCCTCAACTGGAGATTCAGAACAAAACGTTTTACACAAAATTTACTTTTGCTTATTTGTGGCAAATAAAGTGCAATTGCAGGCATTTTTGGAGGACGAATCCTGAATGTGTCCTTTTCCCCAAGCTATCGTAGAATTTTAGGGAATCTGCGGTGTACGATCGGGGAAAGTTCATTAGTTATAAATGTCAGGGAACGGTCCGAGCACTTCAGTATTTCTAAAAATAACACCAGGGACTGAGTACTGGTCTGTAACATTAAGCCTAGCCCTGAAATACGATGTTTATTATCCACTTACTTCAAGGGTGACGTCAACTCAAGAGGGCGTTTGCTGGTGCAGACAAACCACGTCACGTGACAGACTGAAGCTCCACTGTAGAAAAAATATTGGAATCAAATGATTCTGGAAAGTTCAGTTGAAGTAAATGAATTAACGTTCTCCTGTGCAGTTTTAATATATTTTACACTTATTACGTTGAAATGTACCTATAACATCAATGTGACAATATTTAACATTTTTATGAAAATAAAAAGATGGGGGAAATTGTATATGTATATATACAATTAAACTAATGAAAATCTTATTTCTAAAAAAAATAAATAAATAACCTGTCAAATAAATGAAGCTGACTTTGCCCCTCTTCACATTCATGACTCTGGACTGACAGCGTTGGGGTCGATACTCGATACACTTCCCACTGCAGTTATTTACTGCCTTTGTTGACTCTGGTATTTTACCCCCGTACAGTAAACTGACCAGTAAAAATAAATAATAACACGAAATCCTCCGCAAAAGCAACTGATGAATGACATACCGAAGCAACTTTTTCTCCGAGTTGATCTCATAAATAAAAGAACGAGACAAACGATGAAAAAGAATTCACTTAGGGCCCAAGGGCGTGCAGACTGTTGTTGTTCCACGAGCCTTTCACGTAAAAACTGAACAGACGATCCTCGTGTCGTGGAGACCGTCTCTCCAGGACCTTGAACAAATTGTTTTTGTTTGACGCCACTTAATGCAACTAAAGTACAATTCAGTTTGTGTCCTGCTAATGGGCAAAATATCACTACACACACACACACACACACTGTACACACACACACTAACAGACAGAGAAACACTCACTTTTACATCCCCTCGTTCAGCACAGAAGGACAGACTGTACATTTGTCCTTCAGGTAACAGCAGCTGTGTTTTCCTTCAGCCTTTTGACACTCGTTGTCACCAGCAGCCACCAGTTTGGAGCCGTGGAACACCTGCGAACCACCAGTTGAACACAGACCACGGCGGCGACGTCCCTCAGGAAGACCAGTCGCTATGGGTCGTCACCAAACGATGTCAGTGAATTTCAATCAGCTTCTACAGCTAGAAGAGATGAAAGGTAACAAAAAGCCTTAATACACTGGACCAACGTCACATAGTACAACACTTTAAAGAAAAATGACAAATTAAATCCACCGATCCTTTCTTTGTCAGAACTTTGTCAGAAACGTTCTGTGAACCTCATCAACTGACCCATTGTTCTCTTCAATAACAGAAGAGAAAAAAAATCTCATTTTGTTCCAGAAACACTGGACCATCACCATTGATCTGCTCTGATTCAAGGTCAAACTGCTCTGGTCTGATTGACCTGGTGAACTGTCAACATACGAAACAACAAAAGAAGAATTCAAAATGTGACTTTTTCAGCTCTACTCCTCACACCGTGGAGCGCGAATCAACGCAGCGTTAAAAAACCTGTTGAAAGTCAAACTGCTTTCATCTCCAGATCACTGTGTTTTCTCTTTCTTCATGTCTTTGTCTCGTTATTCCTCTATTTACCAGTTGGGTTTTCTCCACGTTCTGTTTTCCTCCGTATTGTGTCCGAGGCCGTCGGCCTTTGTTACAAATGGCTAAATAACCTGGAGCGAGACGATTCGTTGTGAATGAAGGAAACAAAGCCGATCATTAGCGATGCTCTTTTTCTCCCTGAATTCCGATCGTGACGTGTCTAATTTCAACTCTCCGTCTTTGTTCTGCGTCTCCTCGGCCTTGTCCTCTGTCTGCCGGCTGCTTTCATGCCTCTGTGGCTAACCTGTCGCTGTGCGGCTGAATGGGTTCGCAGAACAAAGACGGCAGCTTCATTCCCGTTTCCAGGTGTCAGAGAAGAAAAAAAAAAAAAAAACTTAGGCCTTGGCACTTGCGGGGAAACATATTCCATCACCCCGGAGTCTGACTGTGGAAGCCCGCCAGGAAGAAGTCATCAGCACCATTCAAGTGCTACAAAGATCTACTAATTACGCCAGACATTTGACGAACATCCCAGGAATTTTTGGTTTTGCTCCTTTGGTTGGTTGGGGGTCCTAACTGCCGGAGAAAATAAGAAACGCTTTTTTTTTTGTTTTGGTCTCGCTCCTCAATGTCACCTTTGGAGGATGCTCTTAATTAGAACTGTCTCGTTAGCGCCATCTTCAGCGCCCTTAATTAAGATTGAATCATCTTCACACTCTACTCATTGTGTGGCTGTAGAGAAAGGGAAGCGTTGCCTTTCATGTCATTTACTCTGTTTTTTTCTCTATAATAAGGGGCGCTTTTTTCACCTTCTTTTATTGAAGGTTCTCTTTAAATCAGAAGATAAAGAAAAAAAAACGAAGGGAGTCTGGGGTGATGAAAAGACCCGGGTTCAGCCTGAAGCCAGGGGCCAGCTGGTAAATCAGCTTGTTAGGAGACGAGGACCGTCACCGCGTGTCAGGAGACGAGGACCGTCACCAGGTGACGTGGTACTCACCATCG